CTTATCTTAAATACTTTTACACACGTCAGGAACAGCATGTGTGAATATGACAATGTTTGACTCCAAAGCATGACAAGATTTTTCAACCCGTTTCAGGAGGTTCCCCCTGTAATTATTATATTTTTTGGACATGATTGCTGTGGAAGCAGTTTACGTTACACTGTATCTGGATCCAAAAAAGCCTTCACGTACTGTATGTCACGCATGCAGAGACAAAAGAGCCGCACACAGTAAGCAAACAATCTCTCTCATAGCTCCACACTTATCAAACAGTTGCCTCCACAGCCAGATCCGAGGCTGCAGCCGAGAATCCGCCACCCTTGTCTGAACAGGCTTATTTTTAGCATGCATGGATTGTGAGAGAGCACTTGTTTTATTTCAGTCCTACCGGCTCTGCCTGAAGTACCACAATTATTTGGTGCCCTTCGAGTATGCAGAGTCATTTTCCTTGAGCGTACATCCAGCACATGGATGAACAAAAGGTGGCAGGATTTTAGAAAGGTTCACTGCAGCTAGCAGAAGTGTTCCTCGTGGCCACGGACGATCCCTTTTACCCTCTCTTTCTGTAACTGTACATGAGTGAGTTAATGATGAGGTCATTTTTCACACCGAGAACTGAACAAATTCATGAACACATCTACATTTTAAATATTTTCTTTCTGTTTTTTTAGGCTTAAATGCACAGCGAATCAAACTCCCTGCACTTACAATAATTTAATCTACATTATAAATTATTTTCAGTGCCAAATAACTATTCTGAATTCAAATGATTTGCATCACATTTTAAACCGGAGGGGCAGAAGTGAAAAATAGATCTTGTACTCTCTCGTGCCCCTCAGAGTGATATTTTTGTCAAAAGGAGGGCGACAGTTGCAAACTGATCTTAAAGCAAACATGAAATGGAAGCAAGTAGATAGAGGGAGCATCAGGCAAACAGGCTCATCACTCTAGAGAGAGAGAGAGAGAGAGAGAGAGAGAGTGGGCTCAGTGTGATGTGTCCTCCTCAGCTCCTTCTTTTTCCCTGCGCTGTTGGCGACTAAAGCAGAGAGAGAGATTTTGACTCAGGTGCAAACTGAGCTGTTTTGCAGACGCCCACACCAGCCCCGTTATCTTACAAATACAATACACCAGAGACAAGGCATCTGTTGTGGCTGTGTGCGTGTGCCTGTGCGTGTGCGTGTGTGTGTGTGTGTGTGTGTGTGTGTGTGTGTGTGTGTGTGTGTGTGTGTGTGTGTGTGTGGGGTGTAAGGATGCAGGGATGTGTTTGTGAGTCTGTGTAGATGTTTGAAACAGTGGAAGACTAAGAGAGGATGATTTTTTTTTAGCATTATTTGTCCTTTGCACCTTTCTGTTTCCATTTTTAAAACAAACCTCTCACACTACTTTGTAAAAAACATATATAATCTGAGGTATTGATCCCTGTTCTTCTGTAGCAGCTGTTTTAAACACTATATTATGAGACCTGTGTGTACGGCCAGGAGAGGAGCTGAGGGATAAAGAGGGGAAGTGCAAATGTAAAACAAGTCATGACAGAATCTGACAAGAGACAGAAATATCCCCTCACTCTCCCTCTGGTGTTCTCTTTTACACTCTCTAAACCATTTTAATCTCCCCCTTAATATCATCCCTTCCCGACTCAACTTTGATCACTGTCATTCTGCTAACTTACAGGATTGGAAGGATTGAGACAAATGCATTATTCATCCCACACACCAATTTGAGTCTCCTCTGCTGTCTGTAATGCACTTCTCTCATCTTGCTGTCAGTTTCTGTTTTTGTTCCGTTTTCTCCGTCGTTCTGATCTTTGGGGATCTGTGAAGTTTAAACAAAAGAAATTATGACATTTAAACATGAAGGAGGAACTTAAATAAGTAATAAATTGGAATTTCCAATTTTCTTTAAAATGTATTATAGATTGCAGATGTGGACTATAAGATGTCCTTGTGCGTTAAGATTGCTTTATTCATTCCAGCAACCTTTCCAAGCATAATGCTCGAGTTTATGCTCAGTGTCAAAATGCATGTTGAACCACAAACTGTTATAGGCTTCAGCCCTCATATTTGTTTCATGGAGCAGATATTATCTAACCACTATCATCATTGCCTTGAGCAGAAACGAGCACTAAGCCTCCCGACTCAACCTGCCCAGCAGTAAATCACACCCAGTGCTCGGCTCGTGAGTCAGGAGGCGCTGCAATAAAAACTGAATTGGAAAATCACTACAGAGGCCTTGAGAATGTGATACACTCTCCAGTCAGATGGACTACAGTCTAATCTGCGGACTAGAAAAAGATCAGCATGTAAAAGCCCTCAACAAAACCCAAAAAATGCAGCAGGGACAAAATCAGCCAGTCCAACATGGTTACATTTAGACTCGGCAGGATGGCTCATGCTGAGAGATGACTCAGTATTATAGATCTACAAGAGTTTCAATATGGGACAAAAACACAAAGAATGCTGGTTAGTGTTTGTGTGGTCCTGAAAGGTAAATGAAGAATTATTATAAGTATAAAAAAACATGCATTCACCCATGGGTAGAGCATAGCATGAATACAAATAGAACATTAGTGATAATTCTGCTAAAAGGTGCATTGTAACACTTAAAAACCTTTTCCAGAAATGAAAGATAATTACAGACTTCTCACTTCTAGTCAGCAAAGCTGGATTTTTATCAGTTATAATAGCAACACAAACTGTGTAAAAAGGTAAAAAGGTGTTGTTGTATTAAAAGACCAGGAAAAATGTGCCAGTAGGTGAGTAGAATACTTTTTGTTGTGGTCAAAATTGACAATCTACCTCATAAAGCCATTTCAGCATTGCACCAAAACACTTTTTTTTTTTTTGTTACACACTCTAACATTAAAGCTGCTTGTCCACACAGAAAGCCAGCAACCTAATAACCGGCTGATCCATGTGGATAAAAAAGAAAGAGTGAAACAGCATGGTCATTAACTGTTATTCCTGGTATTATAGTTTTTGACAGTGAAACATGTAAGATTTGACTTTCACTTTAACTCACTATATCGACAAAAACTAAGGTTGGCTGCTTGGTGTACAGTACTTTGACAATAGATGCTTTGTGGTTTGTATTTTCAAACGGTGTGTGTTTCACTTTTCAACATGAGAGGAGAAAAGCCTTTTGGGAAGAGGACTGTTGTGGCAACACATCATTATTTAATGGAGTATGAACTTCCCCAAATCAAATAGAGCAGAACAGAGCCTCAGACGTTAGGTGGAAATGAAGATAGAGAGAGAAACAAAAAGAAACCAACTTTCAGACTATGTACTGTTTTTTAAAGGTAAAGCCTATACCTCTTAAAAGATACAAACCTAACACCACTTGAACATGTTCCAGCTCCAAAGCTCTTCCATATTGATGGCCATGTTTTACTGGGTAGCTTTGATTAGACAAACACTGTGCAGGGGGGAGGGGCTTAGTAAAAACTCATTTTCCTAACATATTACAGATAAAACATTTAAATGTTTCCAACCTACCATACTCACATACATGATTTTGTCTTTTTAATAGTAACCATACACTTGAGTGCCCAGGATTGGATCCTATGGATTACACATGTACGTCTCTTGTTCAGAGTAATTTATACTGGAAGACAAAGCTGCAACAGAAGGGAAACACAGAAAATCACTGAGATGGTGTGAGGACATTTGTTCTTTTTAGCAGTTTGCAATGCAGCGCAAAGTCAGCAACACTTTTTTCTTATGTTGCATCATTCTTCATATGTGATGTGTCATGTATTGACCCAACTTGACGCTGACACGTAGTGATGTGGCACGAGAAGTGAGAGGAGTCCTTAGATAGCCAGTCGGCGTGACATATTTATTATTGAATGTTATATGAAGTTCCTCTCTTTTTTTTTTTTTCTTGATTTTTTGAACAACTCAGCAAACTGTTTCTCTCAAAGTCAACAGATTTGATTGTGGGGTAAATAGAGCCTACAAAGAGAAATAGAAATGTGCCATTTCAGTGCAAAATTTTGTTTCATTTGTCCTGCAAGCATTGGCAGCTGTTTTCTTTGCCATAGGCTGAGTCGGTGACAGAGATTATTTCTCAAGAACCATGATAACAGTAAGAATCAAAACAACTCTCCAAGAATTGCATTTTTTTCTGGACAGCAAACAAGATTCCTAAGTCTGACTAACCCTTTTCTTGCCTCCCACTAAAATCCTCCCACCTTTTCAAAAGACACTGGAGTCAATTATTTTAGTATTGAAATGCTATTTCTGTGGAGAGGCATTATTAGCACTGCCAGAGAGACCACACATGACTAGAGAATAAAACAATGAAGTGACATAGAGCAAAGATCTCGTCAGTCTTAAATGGCAATTGTTTTCTGGCAGATCAAGTGCTCATAGGTGCCCTTAAATGAAGTGCACCCCATCACCTGTGGGAGTCAAAGTGCAATACCATGGTCTGTTTTGATATTCTGATCCATCTTTTAGGATTATTTTACTTTTCAGAATAAACGCTGGGTTATCTTGTGATGAAGACAGAATGAACAGTCATACATTTGACTTTATCTCCACAAGCCTTCCAGGTATCTCTTAAAGTAGAGGTATTATTTACCCAAAACATTTGAAAACAACAAAGAGTGTAAAGTGAAGTGTGAAGAGCAGCAGTGATTACCCACTGTATGATCAAAACTATGAAAATGCCAGAAGAAAAGACTTCTCACGGTAACACTGCCTCAGTGTCGATGATGAATACTTTATGTGACACAGATCTGGTGCAGATTTTAAAATGCATCTCATCAGTTTGTATTTGTTTTATAAAAAGGCAAGTTGATTGGACAAAAATATCAAGAGCAATTCTAATGAATGTTGTATGGGCTGTGTTTTGAAAATGGTCTACAGACCGGTCCACTGATTCTAAAAAGATACAATCGTCTGCGTCTGTGCCCCTGAGATTTTTTGACAGTTTGCTCTTTTTATCTACTTGAGCACATGTTCAGCATACAAAACTGGAGTGACCATCAGAGTATATCTTTTTTTACTGAGTCAATCTGTTTCAGCTCATTTAATGCATAGTATAAGTGTTCAGAGACATCTCTGAGTACATAATAATACACTTAAAAATACTAAAACTATGGTATCATCTGGTATGAAGTGCTGTTGTATCTGTCCAACAAAGAAAAGTACACATTTTGTCATAAGAAGTAAAATGCTAGCTCTGTCATGTCTGTATGTTTATCTTTAGCTTGTTAGCTCAGTGCACAAACGCTTAAAACAGGCATAAATAAAGCTAACTTTGCTATACAAGTAATTAAAAACCAACCTATCAGGATATTTGAAACGTGATTTAATATATAACATAAAAATGAGGTTAAACAAACTGTAGGTTGAAGCTAGCTAACGCTAATCTTTATGCTAGGCAAATAAGCTGACTAATTGTTAGCTGTGGCTTCATGTATCAATCTTTCCGAATGTCAAAATGTACAATTCATTTTACATGTTTACAGTACAGACATGGTATACGAGCTCTCTGAAGGTTGACTAATTCCTTCAGGTCAAGCAATATTCCTTTTAGCCAATTAAGTAAAAATGTTAGCCTATACACGTGCACAGTGGAATGAAAATGTTTAGCTTTAGCAATTGCCCGATATTTGGTCTTGGACTTTTTTATACATATGTGAGGTAAGAGAGTTGTTGGCCTCCCGTCATTCTTAACACCTCCATTGCTAATCATTTTGTATTGATCTAATGGGTAAAGCATGCATTAAGTCTAGTCAAAGTAGCGAGATTCTAAACAGGTATGTTAGATCTTTATTCCTGAATAGATTGGGTATCATACAATGTCTTTGAAGCATTTCAAGAAAACCAGATTTCATGGCATGGATTCAGTAAACAGAATGAATATGGGGCTGTGGTAGACCCTGTGGCAATATAAAGATTATATTCATTGTAATATTATTGCTTTCATCACAGAGGAGGGAGGATATGGACCCTTAAGACAAAAGGTTATGGTTTCCTTACAGGCCCACCTCTAATCTAACTAGTAACACCTAAGTTGAAATCCTAATGGTGTGTTTTGTGTTACTACAAAGGCCTACCGTAGATTAAATTGGTTTTATTATGACATAAAGTGATTGCACAGTACTGAGCCCTAAGCAGGTCATTAATGACAAAAATGTCCATAAATGCTTTCTAATATCACAGGGTATAATAGAAGGATGTTTGTGCTTATCAAGTACAAGTATTGACGCTTTCAACTTAAGTGTTACTTTAATAAGCAAGTGAAAATTGTGTAGCATTGTGCCCAGTTCAGACAGCTCATATGATGCCAATAATGCATTCTCCAAAAGACAAAATGCATCATATGCAACATATTCTGTACTTGATCAACTAATAAAGTCAGAAAATTGCACATGGTAAAATAGTCTATATATGAAATACCAAAAAACCCAGCGGTGAACAAACATGAAAATGGAAACAAGGTAATATAGTTAAGGCTAAACATCTTGTCTATTACCTTTGTATAGCTAAGTCAATAAGAGGAGCATGCAATCAACAGAACATTGCCACAATTTTACATTAAACAACAAAAGCAATCAACTCAAAACAAATGTATGTGCCTTTCCTCACCACAAATCAGAACCGTGTAATGTAGGTTTTCCACATTGTAAATCATATGGCTTTGTGCAATTTTTCCACTGTCAGTAAATTCACTAATGAAATTGTTTTTTTTTGTAAAATAAGATATTGATAAATGTCATGCCAGAAATTATTGAGATTCTGCTCTACATGCGCTGTTTCTTACATGCCAGATTGTGCTAATTGTACATGATCCTAAAAAATATATCAGAGATCTTTCGCCATAGCATGTATACACTTACAGCCTGGGACAAATGTGCTCAATTCCATCACCCTACTTTATATAAGGTATTTGTGCACATATTCTACATTTCTTTTAATATAAGAATATTGTCCATTAATAAAGGGGGAATAGTACAAGGACTTCAGGTGGGGAAGTAAAGGTGGATGGCATTAGTTAAAGTATGTCGCCTTTATGTAAAGCGATCTGAATTCATCTTTCTGAGTTTGGGGGGCAGGTGTCCGTCCATCCTTCCCCCTCCTCCCCCAGCAAGTCGCTGCAGCTTAGGAGGTAAGTCCGCCACTGACTTACTCATGGGCTCTGAGCTCATCTTGGAGGCCTTGCCAGCCATCTTATCATCAGAGACCCCGGGAACAGAGCTGATTCGCTGCAGCTTCATTGGCAGGTCTCCAAAGCTGTAAGTCATCTCTGAGGTGGTCGAGCTCATCCGGAGAAGCTTCTTGGGCAGGCCTTCCCGTCCTGTGATCTTCTGGAGCTTGGTGGGCAGCTTGGTGGTGCTGTCATTGTCCTCCAGGGTCTCCAGGCAGTCCAGGGAGCTGTTCTTCTCCCCGCTGTTGCACAGGGACGGAGCCATGAGGGGCGAGGAGAGCAACAGGGCCTCCTCCTGCTCCTTCACGCTGTGCGGAGTGGTGGGCACCTCGAACGTGGCGTGAAACTGCGAGTAGTCCACCTTAAAGAAGCCTTCCTCCAGGGAGATGACAGGGAAGAAGCGATGTCCCCACAGAACCTCGTCCTCTGTATACGACGTCCTCGCCTGGCAGGTCATTCCTGTCCAAGAGAGGGGGGGGGGGGGGGAAAGAAAACTTGATGAATTATTTCTGGAAAAATTCCTGAAGAGGCTTCAAATTATAACAAATTATGTGCCTTTGTCTTTCCCCAGCCCAACACACGAGAGGCTAACATTTTGACATGAAATATTTCATGACTCCAGTGTTAAACAACAGAGCGCTGATTTAATTATATGCTTGGCACAGTTCCATCAACAAGACGGTATTCATCAGGATTCTTGCAATTCCCGGATCACAGAGCCAACAATAATGCAAACAAAAGTGCCTCAGTGAATGAGTGCTTACTGTATTACAGAGCCAGCTGCATAAATAAAAAGCTTAATGGATTATTCGGCTTCCAAACGTGATGTTTAGGAGCAATTTCCAGCCTAACTTGAAATATAATTAGAAGTACAGCTGAGTTATTTGCTGTGTTTGTTCGGTTAATTAGTTAATCATAAAAGGCCTAATACATTCTGTAATTACTGTTCATAAAGAACTCCATATGCACTCATCATATACAGTCGCTAAGTAAACACAGTATGACATCTTTATTATGTTTTTTAGTATTTGTTTTACCGTCTATAAACTAGAGGCTCCACATCAATGCCCATAACAAGGTGATGCTGCATGTTGTGTTATATACAGCTCCTCTTTCACATCCACTTTTATGCTCCTAAAAAGGTTCACATCTTAAGCTTGGCCAGTAGCTACAAAGATGGAGGATTAAGATAACCAAATTTCTGGAGAGGCAGACCCAGAGAAGTAACAGCTGCAGGCTAAGGTTTCTGGAGGTCTAACCCCGAGTGAAATGCCTCTGAAGCTCTCTGACACGATAAAGAGAATCCAACTTAATTCAGAAACACAAACGGAAACATTTGTCACACAAACATTGTTCAGCTTGAGAGGAGCCATAATGAGCGTGACAATTCAGTTTAAAGCATCCAATTGTGTCATTTTCAGATTGAAAATTAAAACCAAATATCCAATTTAGCACATTCAGTGTTTGTGTGCATGAACATGTAACCATGCTGCACTAATTGAAGATATCAGATTTTAATGAATTTAGAATAAAACCATCCTCAACGGGGACTTTGAATTAAATCAATACTTACATATTCCCCTCACATCCTTGGAAACAAACTATTGCAATTTGTAAAACATCTCACAAGAACATTTCTCTCTATGCAAACTTATTGGATGCTTATTAGTGATTTTTTTCCCCGTCACCATTATGCAACAGCTGCTGTGAAAGCTGCAGTGCATTATATCATTTTACTCTGCTTACAGCTAAGCCCTATGATTCTGAGCACAGAGAACATTCTGATGAAAAAAGAAATCATTTAATTTCACACTCAAACTAAGCATGGAAAATCTATAATTAGGTTTTATATCCTAAACAAAACTCTAATTTGGCAATATCAGTCCTAAAAGCTCTTATTTTAGCACAGACGATTGGCTTGGGGCACTCATGCTAAGACTTGTTGAAATCCATTAGGAAATCAACAACTGCAGCGTGTTGTTATCACATGTTTTAATTACCAGATTAATATTGTTCGAGCAGAGACAGTTGGGTCCAGACTCAGACGAAGCGCTCATTCACAGTGAGACACACCACGGCTGATTGTGAGGACAGCCTACAATGAAACTGGAGGCATCTGTGACTCTGCCTGATTCCCAAGGTCATAAAATAATTCAATGACAGCAGCTCTGTACACAATGGCAGATGTGCAGGAGTGTTGAACATCAAGTGCGTTTGGGGTATTCAAAGTATTACTTCTGCACTGTGGCTCAGGAGTCCCACAGCCTTTGGGGCATACGGAAGTGTGTGCGCTGCGGTGAATAAAGCGGCTAAAGCTAATGAGGACTTTGAGGCCAGAGCGATTGAGAGTTAAGTGTGAATGGAAAGCTTATTGTGTTGTGAGCTCTTTCAGCTGCCTGCAGCCAAAACACAGTCAGCATTTGATCATCAGCAGGCTTACATATACTGATTTGGAGAAAACTGTGGTGTTAAACACTTTCTAACAGCTTGTTAATCACCTCCAGAAGTGAGCCATACCTGCTTTATAGGATACAGCAGTCTGTGCTAACTGGACGTCTGTTTAGCAGATACAGGACTAAAGAATCAATAGCAGCTTTATGGGGGAAAAAAAAGGTTGGAACAAGTGAAATTAAATTGTGCCTGAGGCCAAAGGCTGCTACAGTGATATAAAAGACACGTATAGCTTTGTCTTTCATCTATTAATAATGCTCTTTTCTTCCTGCAGATGCTGTTTAAGTTCCTGTTTAGACCTCTGGATGCTCATGAACCGTGCAGGCCTGGGGCTGAATCTCACTCTCCCCTTCACTCAACCCACACAAAGGAACAGAGAACATATCACCCAGTACAGACGGTCTAACAAACCGCACCCTCCTTCAAAATCTAACTAAAGACCTCAACTTGATCATGGTCATTAATATAAATTTAATTTCCATGCATTATTCAAGGATTGCTGTCTGAGCCGTGCATAATTAGTAACACAGTTACATCACATACTTACAGTTGTGTTGCTAAAGACCAGGTGTTCTGAAACACCCACGTCCCCACAGCACACCGTTTAACAGACACAGCAACGGGACTGAACTCTGTTCCCCGACTTTCACTGAGGCAAGGACTTAAAATAGTCCGAATTTAGGATGGAAATGTACTCTTATGTAGACGAATGTGTTAGAAAGAAAACCTCGAGATCACATCAGAATACAGCTAAAGAGCTAAAAATAGACGTGGAATAATAAAACACGATATTTAATCTGTTTTTTTTAATATGATTCCTAAAAATAGGAAGACAAATAAGAATACCCGTGTTGGTGTGTATTTCGTACTACTGGCAAAGGCTTATGTAACTATAAAACACACGCCTGCCTGAGACTCAGTGTTTCTATGGAAACAAAACTGTAGGAATGTGTTCATGTGACAGCCATAAACATTTCCACTGCTGACTTTGTGCAAAAAGTAACAGAGACAACACAAAACAAAGCAAAAGTCTCTCTTTAAGATTAAGTGGAAAAAAAATACCATAAATTGATTTCCAATCGAGCGCAGGATCAAATGATCTGCACGACTCCAGAGTTAGAACAGAATGGTTTCAATATCAGATAAGAACCTGACCTTGTATTATACAAACACCTCAGATCAGAAGCTTTTCAGTGGAGTGGAGGAATCATATATTTTGGTGACTTTTCATCTCGGCACACATAACAAATGTTCTCTTTATTAAAGCACAGAGCAAGGGTCTCTTCCTCTTTCATCTATCGCTGTAACACTACACTGCTGCTGTGTTTTATAACTGTGCCGTCCTCATAGTTCCTCTGTCCGTATCATACGAGCATTGTGTTATAAACACACACAGGAGCACACACAGCAGGAGAGGACAAAGATCTCATTCCATCTCTATTGCTGTTTGCTGCTGGGAACATCTTTGGCTAACACACAGATACACACACACACACACACGCACGCACGCACGCACGCACGCACGCACGCACACACAAACACACACACACACACACACACACACACATCACAGCAGTGTAGAGAAACACATCAGATTGTAGTGTTGTCACGGCCTGTTTGTTGTATCAGTAACACAAAAGTTTCACAAAGTGAAACCTTAACAGCACACACAGATTAAACTTTTAGGTTCATCTGGTTATATCTTTATTTTACAAATTTAGCATAAAGCTTGTATAAGCAGAAATGGAAGAGTGCAGTTTTTTGATACAGCGAGGTCTGATTGGCTGTGACCTCTGTTACAATCATTCGACACAGGAAAAACTGATTCTTAAACGTCCTTTTTAGGTAAAATGTGTCTTTCAATACACAAAATAATGAAAAAGGTTTCAGATTGAACGTATTCCAGGTGTCCTCCCTGGCTGGTAAAATCCATCAAACAGCCCAGAGCACACCCTGTTCATCCCTGATGTCTTTTTTAAATATTACTCTGCCTCCAGTTCATTGTTGCTGGTTGTTATGTGCCTGCCTCCAACGCCAAGGCGCCAACCAAACTTTTTGCAGTTTCATCAGCTTTATTATTTCAACAGTCTTAAGCCATCTACCAAAGCCTCAACCTGTGGTGTTTGAGTGGAAATATTTGACTTCTGCCATTCAACTACATTATCTCCCTTTAGAGTTTGAGACACTGACACTGACTAACAAAATCCCCATAACTAAATCATCTGTTATCTTACTGGTTTCATTTGTTTCCAATTTACTATTTTCTGGTGTAGTAAAGCTGAAAATAAATCAAATTAGTGAGCAATAAAATCTTAATGATTAAAATGATTTCTTTGCATAGCCTTACCCAAACAAATGGAATCACTACAAAGCAGATGCATTCATCGCAGTTCAACCACACTATGGCTGAGATCAGGGACACCAATGAAACCAGGAGGGAAAAACAATCAGTTAAATCCATGTTGAGACCGTTTCTCATAATGTTCATTAAGAGAGAAATTTGTTACTCTGAGGATCCATCACACTTCTAATTTCACTCCATGTTTATCTGTTTCATTCTGTGACTCTGTAGACCATTAGAATAAAGATTTTGAATTCTCAATGGAGGAGCTTTCCTCAATAACGTCCTGTAAAATAGAGATTCTGTACCAGAGAAAAACATACTGTGGTATACAATATCCACTTACACTATCTTATTGCTCACTAGATGTATGACAAGAACATTTCTTCTTCAGATTATGATACAGTGTAGATTTCTGCTCTGGACAGTTAATTAGCGGCATTGACGCTAGCAGCATTGTGAGGGTATTTCAAAAGTTCAAATGTGTGTTAAAATGTTTTTAAGAAATGCCCCTCTTAAGTAAAAGTCTTTTAAGTAAAATAAGTCTCTCAACAATGTAAATGTACCTCAGGTGAGAGTGGAAAAAGATACTAAAAGCTACAATAATAACATTTAAAAAAAAGTTTGTACAATATGAAAGGAATTGATTTATTTGAAATACACATCA